ATGTTTCGTATTGTTTAATGACACAATTTTTTTATAGACAAAACGTTTCTATACGTTTATTTTAAATTTATTATTATAAATTTCAAGGCTAGAATAATAGCCTCATAAAAATAAAATCGCAACCAATAATTTTGCTTTCAGGCAAATTGAAGGGAAATTTAGGTCAAAAGTAAGTGACGCAGAAGAAATTGATATTCATAGGAAATAATGTTATTGAGTTGCGGAATTGCTTTTATACGATTTCCCCGGTGATTCTCAACATTTTCATCATGTACTTTAGAATCATATACTCATGTTTAAACTCCTTTTTTGTTCCCAAATCACTTATCAGCCACTTGACAAAAAGAACGAGAAGATGAACTTCCTTAATTATAAATAGTCTTTAAGCTACGAATACCTATTGAATATCATCATTTTACTCTCAAGGCGCTTTCTTTTCTTATATAGAATAAAATACCGCCGCCCATGGGCACCACCGGGAGGCAATTAATACAATAATAACAATTTTGAAAACTTGAATAATGAATTTAAAATAATTTATTTAAATACCTTTTGTGAGTGAACAAATAATTCTTTCATCATCGAAAAACTGGATATATTTTTTTTATTAGATTCTCTTTAAAGAATATTAAAGTCACTTGTCACGTTCAGCTCGCAGGCGTTTTTCGCACGGAGGCAATATCCGTTACTATATCGAAGCCTACATCCGGTTAACTATTGTATGCAAGCCGGATCTAAACCGGGTCCGGGTAAGCGAGACGTCATAATGTATAACCCACATCGCTACGTAGCTTAATGGTTGCTTATAAATAAAGCTTAAATATATCCACTTAAGAAAATACTCATGACAACGGCTATAGGAAAACTATCAAATTCTAATATTATATGAAGATAGTATGACTAAATAAGCTTATAACATTGCTTACAAATATATAACCGACGCTTTTTGTTCTGCAAAAGAAGGTTATGTTAAATAACATAAAGTTTACTGTTAGCGTGTTTAATGTAAACGTTTCGCCCTTCTTTTCCATTGACACAACTGAGAGCATCGTCACTAGAAATAAACGTTAAAAACTTATACTATTTTAGATAATTCTATATAAAAATTAATTGCTCTTCGTTTGTCTGGCTAAAACTTGAGAATGGCAAGACAGATTTTGCTACTTTTGAAATATTTGTGGATGTTTAAACGTTGAGAAACATATACATTATAAAATAAACAAAACTAAAAGCAAAAATATACGGATAAATAATTGAATTTCCGTTTCTAGCTTCAAAACATTTATATGTATAAATCTTCTGGTCACGTGCTTGTAATTAAACTCCTCGTAAATGCCTCGACAGATTTTGTTGAAATTTTGTGTGTGTGTTCAATTGGATTCGAGAATGGTTTAGGTTTACAATCAAATGTTTTTTTGTATTAAAGACGTGTGTACAGGACAACGTGTGTCGGGCCGAAGGCGAAGTCGGGTGATAAGGCCGGTAGTATTATGCCACTTGCCAAAAATGCATACAACATTGCATAACACAAGTCAAAATCATTTTCATTTAGGTAACACAATGTAGTGAACGTCAATAAAGAAATATATATTAAATGTTAAATGCTTCTAATTTTACATTTACTGCCAGTTCACAAATGTTCCACATGACATCTCAAGTAATTAATAATAATAAAAAATACATAAAAAAGTGAAATAAAAATTCAGACTACTACAACTATTACAGTAAAATATATTTTTACTATTTTTCTGGGGTTAACAGGAATTGACGTACCCTATCACCCGATTTCATTAAGTTAATGGTAAATTTCGAACACTAATAACATGGAATGATGAAAAGTCGGACTACATAATCGTAATGTATGTAGCTGTCTCGTAGAAGAAAAGAATTTGGTAAATAACTTAGTTTATTCTCTAGGTTGCTTTAAACCAAGAAGCGGGCAGACATGATGGGCTATACAACCGGATAACCGGATGTCTTGCCCGGCTAAGCATGACGTCACAGCTTATGTATGCACCCCACATTCTACTAACTTATGCAGCCTAATGACACATTGTTGGGCGTTTTTGTATGAACAAGAAAACTTGGATGTTAGAACTCGTAATCTTGTTCATGACGATGAAGACTGGATTATTCCATAAATTATATTTTCAAAAATATGCGCACATCTTTGCGAACTATTTTCATACAAAAAAGTGCGTGCGTACAAAGTACACATGTCAAAAATGAAACTTCTTTGGCAAACTAATTTTTAAGTCTTGTTCATATTACAAATATACAAATCTAAAATCTAAATCTATCTTTAGATTTCCGAGACTTAGAGGGAGGGAAAAAGGAAGATATGTTAGGAATTTAAAATATTAAAAGTGTCAAATATTAATACAAATTATAAATTTAATCTTTTAATTTATTTCTTCGATAATAAAAACACGTGGTATTTTAATTTACAATTCATCATTTGAGATTTCAATAAATTATTTTGCATAAAATAGAAAAACTAATATTTCATAAATTCTCTTTACGAAATTTTAATTTTAAAATTAGAATTTCTGTAACGAAATTCGCCCTTCTCAATCGGCCTCAATCGCTCCCTTTTCTTCGACAAAAATGCAGCACATCTTCGTGACGCTAATATTGTTATTATTGCGTTTCATCCGTAAAAATTTTACCCTCATGCGCCTAAAGAAGTTTCACTTCAAAAAGTACATGTAATTTACCTATAATTCACGTAACCTAATTTTTTTTACAAAAATCTAGAGATATATAGGCCTATAGCTATCATATTTTAAGAAGTAATTAAATAATATGTACTATATGTTTCTTTAAAACGAGTATAACTTAAGGATAGCTAGCTAGTACTTCGTGGAATTAAGCCAAATTAATCCAGCCAAATTCGATGTTTACGATACTGATTCTCATAGAGAACTCTCTAGTGAGAGGTACAAATATATGAACTTATACTTAAACTGGGAGGAGATTTTTTCAAGAAGAAACATTAACAGCTTTTGTAACCAAAATGTTCAATTTAAATGCTCAAGATAACCATCATAATTCGACCAAAACCTCACATTGTATACAAAGCATTATACTTTTAATTAAAACGTATAGCCCACATAGCACCGAGGCATTGAACGGCCATTGAGACAATTTTCATCTCCCGTATTCGCCGCGGACATAAAAATACAATAGAGGCATTGAACGTGTTCCCCAGAGCTTTAAATTAAATTGATAAACAAAACCTCATCGCCCTACAAAGGGCCAATTTTATGTCAATTTTACTCCTGGGATTTTTTATTCTAATTTTAGCTTAGAATGAATGCTTCTATTGAATACAATAATCTTTTATGTAAATCGCGTAATATATTTCTGCGTGTGTTTCATTAATCATTTTATAAGCAAGTAGTTTAGTCAGCTTTCTGTGCCTGACACACGCCGTCGATTTTTGTGTGTAAGACATATTGGTTTCCTCGTGATGTATTTCATCGCTCGAATAAAAATGCTGGCATGGTGGCGTTACAATCTTTTAGGTCTAGGCATCAGATTTGTGTACCTGTTTCTTGATTATTTGTTTTTTATTATAGGGAAGTAGATGGTTCTATGCCTGACACATGCGGTGGACTTGTTACGTTTAAGGCATGCCGGTTTTCTAATGATGATTTCCTTCACTGTACAAGCTAGTGTAAAATGCTTACATAGCAGACCAGTTAATTGATGCACAGCCGGAGATCAAACCTACAACCTCGGGGATGAGTGTCGTACGCTGAAGCCATTATGCTAACACTGCTTTTCGTAATAAGTATTGTAAAAAGAGTATTTGTAATGGTAAAGAGCAAAATTGGCATATCAAACTAAAAGACAGTTCTTAAATTCTTAATATCAGCTAATTATAACTCGGTGTATAAGTTGATTGTTCAAAATATACTCATAGTTGATCCTTTAAAAGTATTTTCACAAATGGGGTATATTAAATCAAGTCTGCCAACCACAACGTAACAGCATGAATGTTATAAATCCAAAAAAAACGTGAACACGGCTTTAAATATTTATATAAAAATTCACATGTTCACATTCAAAAGCGAAAATTTTAATAAAACCCGCTAGGTGTACCATCTGTTACTAAATTGTAGCCAAAATGAAAAGCAAACGTTTATATTGCGTATAAAAATCGATCACTATTGAAAACCATTGGTGTGAATATTTCAATTGCTGCTTTTTGTGTAAAATCTCTTTTCATACAGTAAAATTCTTTTAATCCCCTTCTAAAGGGCCTCCATGAAAAAGCATATGCTGTTACAATTTACTTTATAATAAAACATGTGTATGATATATTGTACATAATTAAACGACATTAGTGTTAATTTATGTTTAAAGTAAATGTAATTATAACATTGAATATGAAATTCAGGTCACTTTTCAGAATAATGGTCTACCACGTATATAAACTGATCAATACAATTGCTTCGTAATAGAAAAAAACAACCTGAGATATAAATCTAAATAATTATAAGTCGCCCGTCGTTGGGTCAACCATACATGAGATCATCACGTGGTTAAAGTTTGGTGCCAAAACGTCTACATTCAATAGCAGAACATGAAATTTGACATGTTTCTAAGCCCTATACTCTAGCTATTCAGTTCAGTAGCTATTCCACAAGTTTTAGCAAGTACCAAGGTTGTACAATTGTTGCCGCACTTTCTAACTTGCGAAAACACTAAAAAACATTCGTTGTTATCAGTATTTAGGATTTAACATATACCATCTATGCCTAAAATCTTTAACAAATAATGTAACGAGGACGTGTATATAGCGAATTATCCAGTGCCACCAAAGTTTCTAAGAAAGTTATAATTTATAAGCTCAATAAAGTGCATAAGTATCTCTCAAAACGTAATTTCGAACATTCACTCAACAAAGGGTGCGCCGCGAGCAAAAACTATTTCTGTTCGGGCTAAAGTTGTACTGTGCTTGGTTAAAAGTTTTGAAAAGCACCACAAGTGCAATGATGCTTGGTAAATAGTTGATATTCAATTGGATTTATAGAACTTTTATATGAGTTTAATTCGCTATAACTACAAAAGGTTTCCCTGTTCCCTTAGGCATTGTAATATGATGTTAAAAAGGTTTAATGTTAAACGTTGCCTACGTTATATGGCCACGAAAGTGTTAGTTAGTTTGTCTTAAAAATGTTATGCACGTTTTATTAAGTGCTTTTTACTACAGCATAAATACAATCTAATAGGCTAAATAATAAACAATATTTGATTACAGATCTATAAACTTCCGCCATTTTTACCGTTAAAACAATTATTTATTTATTTTATTTAACTGTAATTCACAAATATTTTTTATAAGAATTTTTTCATACTTAAATTAAAAATAAATCCAAAACGGATTACACCATATGGTAGGGGAGCCCAAGAGGGGATTTCGGGATTTACTAAAACGCGGCAGATTAATATATAGGGGGATACCTTGTACCCGGTTAAGTACCTCCACAAAATATGAGGCCCATATATAAGGCCGCCCGTGAAGGAGACAGGATCAGATTAGTAAAAAAAAATTTACCATCAGAAATTCCCAATCGGAAACTACTAAACGGCGTTCTCAATATTTCCTTCAAAATTACATTTCCTGTGAATTTGAACCGATTCGGACCGATAGATTTTGAGAAATTTTGAAAAATCTTAAAAAAATAAGAATATTTTTTTTTTAAACTGGTTTCTTTATCGATCAACTTCAAAAACTAATCCGCCTTTGAGCTTGAAAAACCACGTCGATCGCCACCAAGCTGGTCAAAAGCGGTTGATTCGTTCGAGAGATATCGTGAACGAAAGAAACCCGAAAAAGTGTTTTTTCGGGATTACTCCGAAATTTGTGGTTCGATCAATTAAAATTGCAAAATTACTTATGAGGATGATAAAACTGCGTCGAATGCCGCTAACCGCGTGAAAATTGCTTGATCCATTCAAAAGTTATTGCGGTTTGAAAATTCCAAAAATAGTGTTCTATGAAACTTCTATCAGACTTTCGAGCTGGGAGAGCTCAAATGCATAGAAATATTATTTCTTTGAACTCAGCGAGCTCAAAATATCAATTTTAAGCGCCCAGGAATGGAATTAGCGGGAAGTTGCAGGGATGGCCCTTTAGGTGAACCGTTTTTCTAATTTTTTTTTGTCAGATCAGGCGAATCCTTCTAGATAATCGTCAGATTATGAGACAGTACGTTTAGAACATAAAGATGAACCACATATATCTTAATCTGACGCGCTTGAGTATTTCAAAATTGCGATTTTTTTTGCAAATTATGAAAATGGCCGTGGGTTTGCGTCCCATCGAAATCGTCAGATTAGTGAATGAGAGCTTTTTTTTGGTGCACTTAACACTCCCTTAGAAAATCTGACGCGCTCGATAATTTTTATTTTTTTTTCATTTTCAACCCTTAAATACAACCACCCGCATCAAATCATGCAAACGATCAGATTAACATACGTACATTATTAAAAATACGTAGGGCATTGATGCTATCAATATCTGACGCGCTCGAGGATGTCCATGCAACAGTTTTTTTTTACATATTTAATAATCTATAGCCGCTTCCCCCCACCGATGAAAAGGTATTTATATCATATAACATTTTTTTCTTCTTATTATCTAAGCTTTGCATCCCAATAGGTCTCTACGACGCTCGAGTAAATCCCCATTTAGCATCGTGGGCTGCCCTACCAATATATACGAAGATCATTATTTACTAACAAAGACAATTTACTCATAATTTATTGGCTGAGGTCTGTGTGGAAGTGTGTAAGTGTGTCTGTGTATGCGTTTTTATGTAATCTTAAAAATCCATTCCATTTGCTATCTCTTTCGAAAATATGCAAAAAGTTGCTCGCTTACTCCTTATTATATACAACTAGCTGACCGGGCAAACGTCGTTTTGCCATATGTATCATTTATAATAAAAAAAATAGGGGTTCATCGTAGAGGGGTGAAAGTTAGGGGTTTGTATGTATTTTTTAATGCTGTATCATAAAAAAATAAAAACAGAAAAAAATATCTAAAAATTAAAAAAAAATATTTAGGGGTGGACTACCCTTAACATTTAGGGGGATGAAAAATTGATGTTGTCCGATTCTCAGACATACCCAATATGCACACAAAATTTCATGAGAATCGGTCGAGCCGTTTTGGAGGAGTATGGCAACGAAAACTGTGACACGAGAATTTTATATATTAGATTGAAATACGTAATAATAAGTATAATATTTTGAGCATAGTTTGAACCAAGAAATATACAGCTCAGTATGACGAGTTCAAAAATCGGGTACATTTAAGTAAAATATTTTAAGCAATTCGCAGCAGCAGTCAATATGATTGTTCCATAAACCATGTAGAAACTTTAAGTCTGCTCTCTAATATTTTTCGTATTAAAACCCATATCAATCAAATATACAGTATTTACAATTTTCTTAACATACATAATAATAATAAAAATATGCTGTCTGCTCCCTTACATCTAAATGTTAGTGGTTCAATTTCAAATCGTTGACAAGGCTCCTGATAATGGTCAAAGTATTATTATTTTTAAAACTAAAACTATATAAACATAATACGTAAGGTCCCACGAGAATGTAAGTGCGTGCTCCTACTTCACCATGCCTCCTGCCGATAGAGGACAACTCTTTGTTTTTAATTTATTTTATTATTATTTATTACTTAAGTCATGTGGAACATGGTGTCTCCTTACCAATGTGGTGTAAAACAAAAAACTTAGCGATTAAAAAGAGTGGCGGAGAGTTTATGGCCAGTTCTTCTCTTCCATTCTACGCCCTTGATTTGAGAACTGGCAGTAAATGTATAATTAGAAGCATTTAATGAATATTTCTTTTTTGACGTTCTTAAGTGTACATTGTGTTACCTACATGAATAAATGATTTTTGACTTTGACTTCATTAGCCTATAAACCAGCTAAAACTTTTGTCAATCATTAGAATATTCTTAGCACGTAATTTAGCCTCAACAACTTAATCATCTTGATCCAAAAGCCTTAAGAACTTCTATTAGTTGAAAATTCGCTACACTCTTAATGAGTTTTCTTACTTTTGGCTCAACATTAGACTTGTTTTAACGTCCGACTTACTTTCCTCAAAGTAAGATATATTTTTATTTACGTATAATTTGTATTTACCATTTTCTTAACCTACAAAGTATTAATAAAAATTATTAAAAAGAAAATTAAAACCAATTTAAAAAGTTTGGCAAAAAATTTGATTTAGGATTAGTTCCGATCTAGCTTGTCTTTCACCTTCTGTTTCAGCTGCACTTGGATCGTTACTCAAAGGACTTTCAATGTATTTCCATAATTTGTTTCTTACTAGGACTGCTTCAGCTTGTATTACCCTTGTATCATAGTTTCCTTTTATTGTGGCAATGTACATTTAACGCTGGCAGCATTTCCTCGCTGCATTGCGTTTGTTTGTGAACAAAAAAAATATTTCACCCACCATACAAATAAGTAATTTCAATAAAATTAACCCTATTTGTTTAAAAAGGAATTTATATGTGGTGGAAACACAAATTACAAATAGTTCTGTACAGCAGAACGTCGAATAAATTCACAACTTATTTACTGTCTACGACATTATGTTGTTCACACAAGACAACAAAATTAAAATTATGAGCGCTACGAAGATACTTCATTACCAAGTCAAAGTCAAATCATTTATTTCAATTAGACCACCTAAAATGGCACTTTTGAACGTCAAAAAAAATACAAAGAAGATTCTTGTTGCCCCTTCCAAAAGGTAGTTGCCAAGCCATTGAGAAAACATCCTACCAGCTTCAATTCAATCATAAAGCTTCTAACACAGTTCAAATTTAAAAACTGTAGAATATTTGGTTCTTAATATTGCTTAGTTAAAATACTTATCAATTGCATAACACACTTAAAATATATTTTGTTTAATTATTAAGAAGAAGATTTACGAATTTTATACTCTTTTAACTCAACATATGAGAGCATAATCCATTTATATATGCTTTAAGTGAATTTATCCGAGCATCGCTAAAAAGCTTTCGAGAGCTTTTCACTTTTACAGTCATGCTTTGAAGTGGTCGAAGCCAAGTGCAATAATTAATTGAATAAATTCGTTAAATCCGAATTCATTTACCTTCTGGCGTGTGAAGTGCGGAATTAACCAAAAGTGGTTGGATATATGCAGTGGACAAGGGTTAACCATTAATTCTCGTAACCGTAAATTGAATGCAAGTTTTATTTCTCAGAGGAAATTTATATTAAGTCCAAAATTGTGTTCACTAAATTTAGTCTGTTGACATGATTTGTTAAGACCTTTTAAGTATTCTTTCAAGTAACAAATGGAGCAATTAATGTTTTAATTAACTTGCAATTTTTTTTTAACTTTATTATTATTCTACGTTAAATATATTTAAAAAAATATCAAATCTCGTACATACTTACTCGTTCTCCGTTTCCACATTTTAAGTACCGTTTTCTCTTATGTGTTCAGAATAAATTACTTTACTTTAAATACTTCAAGATTGTCTTATAGTTACGATGTAACAATTTCTATTTCGTTTTCAACGTAAGTAAAATTAATGAATAATACTCATGATTTAATAAAATAAACAAACAAATAACAATATTGATACTAAATAAACGTCAAAATAAATAGTAACCATACGCGTACCGCATTTTGTACTTATAATTTCTTTATAGTCAACAGTCAAGCAACGGACGTAGATGTGAAGCTGGTGGCACCCAGTTGGGTGGCACGAGGCGGTTCAGCGAAGCTACGATGCCTCCACCAGGTCCCGCCGCAGTTACTCTACAAAGTTGAGTTTCTGCGCTCCGGGGCAAAGATCCTGCAATATGTCCGAGAGCGGGTACCACCTTACACCAATTACACCTTTCAAGGAGGAAAGGTTAATGTAAGTATTTTGAATATCGATGAACTGTATAAACAATCTATTTGGTTGAACTAAAATAGACAAACGATTGATCGCAAAAAGTTTAGTTTACTGAGAAATGACGTGGGTTCTGTTCTCTAAATCTGTGATATGTAGTAGAAAAGATAAAAAAATGTGTTCATTCATTTTAAGTAAATATGCATTACAATGTATAAGATTTGGGAACCCTTTTAAGTAAACAATACCTGTGTCAGGGTTCCCAGCTCTTCCATAACGATAATACGAGTAGAAGTTGAATTTTAAGCATGTCCTAAAATGAATCAGATAGAATATTAGACTTTTTGCAAAGTCGCATTAATAATAAATTATTTATAACAAATAATGTATCGTTGACGTTCAAAATAATTTCCTAACAACACACATTTTAAAAAATTTAGACAGTTTCGTCTAGTACTCATATCGTACGATAAATATAGTTGGTTGTTTTCCATATATTTGATAGTTATGAATACTATTCGAAAGCGAATGATTTCAATTTGTATGATTTTTTAAATTCAAATACGCAAATTGAATGCTGACTTATGCTCGTATCGAACTCTATTGTTGTGTTACGCGAATTATTCGATCATTACTTATTGTTATAGTTATGTGTGCTATCGTTCACAAATAGCCCACATAGATAGGGAAACATATTAAGCCTTTCATAATAATTTATTTAGGAATTGTATTGCATCAAACAAAACTCCTGTTAAGGAACAGTTAGGAAAATATTACTCCTTACTTATTTCAAGCCTATTAAAGTCTACTAAATACTACATTTCCAAGGAATAAAGCTGACACGCGCTATGTATATTTATTACTAGATGTCTCTCGTAACGGAAAACTCCATCACCTTGGAAAATTTGGATCCTACTGCATCAGGGCTGTATTGGTGCGAGGTGTCATTGGAGACGCCTATTTTCACGGCAGCTTCACCTCCTCATCAACTAACGGTTGTCTGTGAGTATTATTGAATCTAAACCATTATAGTGTATGGTTGTACTATTTTAATAATATACCAGTATATCTTATATATTTTTGAGTGCTATAAATGCCTTTTTTATACAAATACAATTTATATACATTAATATACAGATATATTTTTCAGTATAAATTAATTATACTGAAAGATATCTGCGCCTTAAGAGTAAAGATAGGATAGTTAAACACGAAACTACGACCTTAATTATGAATTGAATGAACTAAAGAATTAACCACTGAGCAATGTTAGTGGTGAGTTTTATACAGATAATTCCTGCAACTTAATTAGGTTAATTAGTACCAAAGATGTTTCTTTCATAGACTATATCGATACCTAATCCCAATATTATTTTTAAATTGTTGCACAGTGTGAAATTTGTCCCCATAACCGGCGTTATTTTCACTTATACGTCATGTTTTATTAGTCAGTAAAACTCCTACATTTCTTTCTTCAGTCTTTACTGAGCTCTATAAAACCCATTTATTGTAATGTGAATTGGAAATGAAATTAAATTCATTCATTTCCAAATGAAAATGGAATTTTTCAAAATTTTACACTATTTTGCACATTATAAATATTATATCTGCAGATTCTCAAAAGCACCCGCCAATAATAACTTTCGGAAAGCCTGATGTTGTGGTTGGAGGATTACTTCGAGCGAACTGTACTAGCGCCCCGGCTGCCCCCGCGCCCAAACTCATCTGGTACATTGATAATGAAAAGGTACATCATACCCTGAAAAGCGCAAACGAAATTATTTCAGCCGCTAAGGATTTATAGAACTTTTCGACCTTAGCCACTGGGGCCTACATGCTGGCCTGTGGTTTGACTGGTCGAGTTTGCTCCGAACTGTACACCATCCTTCCTTCACACGTTCGTTTATCCAATCAATAATCAAAATTATGTATTATATATTGTAAAACTACAAAAAGGCCTGAAACCTTCTTCAAGTTTCAACAAGCTTTAAAAACGTTTACTTTAAATAAATGATGTCTATTGTATATGATAATGTTTTGACTCTTCACTTTGGGTTGAAGATAATGTAGATTGAATATCATAATTATTAATGAATACCCCAAAGTTCACTAGGGGATTGTTATTATAATAATTACGATTTAATTAACCCGCCGCAAGCAATATTTACAAGTTCAACGTTCAGACACAAATTTAATAATGGATGTGGTAGACGTTATCTATATTGTGAATTATCGAAGATACTGTGAAGATATACCAAGGTATTAATTAACACAAAATAAATAAAAAATAGAAAATAAAAAATTCTATATGAAAAGTAAAAATTTAACAGCTATGATGTTATAAGTTTTCATAAGTAAGATTCAGTTAAATGAATATTCTAAAATTAAAACTTTAATTAGTAGTATTTATATACTATTATAGCATCTAATAAGTGAATAAACATCGAACGAGATTTTGATGCAAAATTTGCAAATATTGAACTTAATCCCGTCAGAATAGCTGGCTGAACTAATTAATGAGCACAAATTCATTAAATACCCAGCAGTAACAATATTGCAGGTGCCCGAAGACTCAATTAAGTACTTCTCATACCGCGTGTCAAGTTCCACCAGGACAAAAGGAGGGGGGGAACCGACACCGGAAGTACCAGCATCGATACATAGCACCGGAGTTCAACTACACGGCAAAATACTGGGCGTTGGTGAGTGAGACGACCACCCCGTCTCCTGCGAACCTTAAACACAGCAAATGTACTTTGAAGGACGGCCATGAGGAAGTCGCGAAGGTAGTTAATTATTAGCTTGACACTAGATTATAAATTATATGTGTCTGACAGTGTTCAGTGTTAAAAAAAGGGTGCGTGTACTTATGTACGCGCGTAAGAAGGTATACTTCTTTGGCATTATTGAAAATAGTTTTTGATTGCATGCAAATAATTATTTAAAATTAAATAATCAAAGACGGGAAAAGAAGTCATTATAGTCAATAAACTTCAGTTTACATTTGAAAAATTAAATAAATAAATATTTATTATTATTCTCTTACATTAACATAAATTCTATTATTATTCGAATGTTGTTTTTAAATTATGTCCAATGCCGTAGCATCTTCCGTGGGCAACTTCATTCTGTTAATTTTGTGTCACGGTGCGCGCGCATCGTAAAATTTCACACTCATCAATTTTTCATAACGCACCTAAAGAAGTATAACTTCAAAACATTATCTAGTTTTCTTTATCAATTAAATACCTCGTCGTACTCGAAATAAATATTTGTCGTTTAAATAGTGATTCAGGCCGTTATATATAAAAACATTATTATATTAAATTAAATATTTAAAAATATAATATTTATCATTATTTTACTTCCTGCTGAATAGGTATTATGTTAAGCCAATCTTACTATAAATTTTTTTCTAGAGCTTTCAAATAAAATTATTCGAAAAAAATACAATAATTTAAATTAAGACTTAATAATATTTTTTAGATTGAAAAGCCACGAGAATTAGCTCCTCCACCTATATCCTTATGGGTGTCCATTGCTGAGTTACGGACTCCAGCCCATGGGCGTTTGCAATTGACATGTACAGCGACCATACCCGAAGAAGTGGGACCAGGCGAACGTTTCGCGGATATTAAGAAGCAGACTGTCACTGGTAACTAATTTTTATGTATAAATAATTTCGTATCACACCATCAGTATACAATAGAACATAAAGTGACACTATTGTCTAATAAGTCTTTTTTGTTCTATGAACAAGAAGATACATAAAAAAAGTTTTCTCATATAACTATTTATATTTCTACAGGTTTAGTTACAATTACTTTCTGTATTTGTATATTTTAATATGGTTTTTACGGTTAATCAAATAACCTTTTCAAAGAACTAATGTTATAATAAGTTTTCTGTTAACTTCCCTCTAAATTAACTATTGTGTTAAATTTTAGTTAAAAACCTCGTTAAACTAAAAAATGTTAATCCCTCTTGTTAATGTATGCTACGGACGATAGTAGATTTTTATCAACGAAATCTCAGCTCTGTCGACTCATTAAAGATAAAACCTTAATCTGGTTAATAAACTTTAATGATCAGGTCTTTATTTAAGCGTATCGCTTAATAAAACAGCAATCAAAGTACAAAATACGATTCGTTATACGAGCATTGGAGTGTAAATTTGATTCTAGTTACATTTAATAAAACTTTTAAGCCTGGGACGAAAACTAAATGTTCCCTTTCCATTTTTACGATTTATATTTTTGTACCGTCAATGTTTTTACCACTATATTCTCTGGCTCCATTAAAAGCCATATTTTATGCAGTTTTTTGTTCTTAGGTTCAAAGATACTTTATTTCTCAAAGAATTACATTCACTTAGCGAGAAAATTTAGAGTATGTTTGTTATGTACATTGTGTTATAAAATTATTTGAAAATACACTATATAAAATAAAAATATTAGTTTCTAACAATATGTACCATATTTGTTACAAAAGTGCAGGTAGGTCGCATCGATGTTACAACAGGCAATATGTGACAATGAATAGTAATAATTTCTAAGACTGTGAAGAAATATATAAAACTTTAAATGCAATATAAACCAAAAGGATTAAATGTTTGCAGTTTAAATTTAAAAAAGAACAATAAAATTCGCGTCAAAACTTTATTCGCAAGCCGCTTCAAAACTACCAAGTATGGAAATTCCTCTTAAACAATATTGCGGCAAAGTAAAGTTTGCAAACTTCGGCAACTCATAAAAAGATAGACACTGAATCTCTAATGCTTTTTGGCAGTTGCAGTGAACGAGCTGACTTTGAAGAAACCTCAATCGGATACAAGTGTCGCAAACGGTACGGCAACCACGCTTCACAATTTCACCCCGATTTGGCTTATTGGTTACAGTTTCCTTATCCAAGAGCTTAGAATAACCCTAGTGTAAATTCCCTTAGATTTTTAGATGCATAAGTATTTTTGTAATTATGTTCGTCTCACTTTCAAGGTGTACGGTTGTCCTTACATTTGCTGTTTTTTTTAGAAATTTATCAATTATTTAAACAGAGACGTATTTTAGAAAGAACCCTATTTATGTGAGCTTCCTTCAGGTCAATTAATTCTTTATGTACCTATATTTTTGTATGGCGGAGTTTACTTTACTTAGATAACGCACTACCCTCTATAGCCAAAAGATATATTTTAAAACGTTATTTTAACTTTTATATTAACTTCAAACTAGATCTCAGCGTCAAATAACTAATTTAAAGACTGCATAAGTTAGTAAAGATTTTTAATTTTTGTATAAAATACCATTTGCCAATGCCTTTTGCTACTTGGTTCGTACATACTCCTTCCCGTCCGCTTCTATCACCTTTCTATAAGCTGACTATAGAAAAAAAGGATGTATCTAATACATTTAATCTTTTCGTGAGCTATTTAGCGATTTTTGTGTTAAACTCTGATGATTGCAAATGCGACTGAAACATATTTGTTTGATCAAATCATACTTCTGCATGTCACCATCAGAGGCGCTGTCAACATTTTTTATAAGGTGGGAACTGACCAAAGTTACGAGGTGTAATGTAACACACAGCGAGCATTCGTGCAGTCAGTACGTCGTGTTACGGGGAAACCAGCGAGCAACGAGCCACTCGTTGCTCGCTTAGAGTGCTCCACCCGGCTGTCGGTTTTTTGGCGAATCCTTTGAGTGTTACGCGGTTCAGTCAGTACGCGTCGCACGTCGCGAGTGATCATGATTATGATTATCTATAATTTGTGTCTTTTTAAAGTACTTTTGGTCCAATTAAATTCAACAGTTCTTCAAAATCGATCGGAGACATGCATACAAAGTTTTATACTGTCCAGTAATCATTTGTTTTTTTTAAATTGCTATCAATGACAAACCACCACATACGCCTCTGTTTTTAAATAAGTTTGATGTCCAGTAACGTTTTTTCTTCTTCTTAATTTGGATGAAACAATAATTAAGTAGAATCAAAGATATCAAAGCGTCCTCGCTGTCGGCCATCTCGTGAACACTGGCGGCAAAAGCGGAGCACAGAGTTTTGATGAGCATGTTACGCCGATTTTAAAACACAGCGTAACATGCTCGATGCGTAACACGCTCGATGCGAATGCTACATTACACCTCGTAACTTTGGTCAGTTCCCACCTATACAAATATTTTATGGTGGTGTTTCTTATTTATCAAATAAAAGATAGGGTTACATGTAACTTTTATTAATTAAATAGCATGAAGCAAAAAACTTTTGTCCTTATTGTGCTAGGTCATAGCGTTAATGTTGTTAATACAACTACTGATATTTTTATGTTCGATTTTGTGCTTTTAGGACTTTTATACTTAAATATCCTGCGCATCTAGTACCTATCTGTACCTGAGCTTACTGTCTATTATAAAAATTCATTCAGTAAAGAAATATATAAATTTGTAACAACGTTTGTATCAAAATCATTTTTCATATACACCAAATATTATATACCAAATAAAGAAGTTAAAGATTGTTCTCGTCAACTCGAACTTCTCATCACTTTCATATCTAGTAATTAAATATGGCTTTATTCCTCTTAATTCGATGATTGAATTAGTTTCGTGGGGTATATAGTGTTACACTGTGAAAATTAATAATAGTGTTTGCCTCTATGAGATTTTATTTTTGTAATCTATTCCAGTAGATAATTTAATGTGGATTGTAAAAATCGGATCTCGTATGAGGCGTTGAATGTCTTCCTGCAGCTCTATACACTGACTATTGTAGATATTTTTGTTGCTGGCTGATTCATACAATGACTGTTAAAAAATAAAGCTTTTTGTATTCATATAAATATCATTTTGTAATTTATTTTCTATTTTTTTGTTATTTAAAGCCAGTTGTATGAATCAGTTATTAAGTTACGATGTTGGGCATTTTCAACTGCATGTTGGTTTATTGCAACAATTGCGTTTCATAACGCAGACTATTAAAGAGTGTGTTTTAATAGTCGATGCAAATTTGATGAACGCATAAGTGACTACCTTATTATGTACAGAGCATTTGAACATTGAACTTTACGATAGTAAACAAAACAACGTTGTTGATTTCCTCTCAGCCAAAATGTTATAATTGTTTTAATTTCTATATTCTCTCCCTTTATTCATAAAAACAGTCTAATTGCACTGTTTCAACTTAAGTACTCTTTCGTCTGTTTTTGTTTAATTGTCTTTTCGCTATGATGATAAGAGACAGATGACTAGACAGATTTATTTTTAAATAAATATGCATAATAGTACGTCACTATAGAATTGTTTTAACGTTGAAAGTAAAATATAAAACTCACATAGTGTTAACTCTGATCCAGTACCACGAGTCTATATGAGCAATGCAAGTAACTCTTGGGTTAAGAGAATCCTGAATTTCACATAGTTTTGAGGTTTGAGTCAGAATTGCCACACATCGTAACAATGCTACAAGATGTGATAAGTGTATTCAGAGCGAAATATTTTAAAATAGATCAGTTATGTAAAGAAATTATATTATATAAAGTGTTGATATAGATATAGAATTAAGATGTATATTAGATAAATGTGGTTAGGAAGCCAATAATTATTTTCTGCTTGCTTATTTTATTTTAAATGTATGTTCTTTGTCGAAATGTATTGTAATGAGTTTTGTACAACAATTTAGTGATTGCCGTGAATGAAATTATATTTGATTTCGATAAAGTAAATAGTTAATTACAGTAGAAAATAATTTTTGGCTTCTTCAGAAAATATTTTTTTTATCCTCTGGCCATTTTAAATTATCTATAATCACAGTGGTATAAAATAAAGCTTAATAAAAGCAAATAATGTTTTTTTTATTTTGATTATCTTTCAAATCATTTCCTAATTATTTGTTCGGATATTTTACAAACCCAATGAGTCAAAGTGGTGGTTAGGTCAAGAGACAATTTAAACTCTTATTTATAAACCTTCTTTACCAATACATAAACGGGAAAAAAAGGTAACCTATTAGCGCGCATATAAATGCAATCCTTACTATATTTTCTGAGTAAATCATAAACTATGTCAGAATAAAATATAAACAGTTGCTATAGTTAGTTAAGAACACTTGAACACTCCAATTCAAACCATTCAGCATTCATCGTGAGTGTGTCGTTCGCTTGACTATTTCATGCGTCAAAAATGCCTGTAAATACATTAATAAATTAATTGAAACCATGCTATAACAATAAGAGCGAATGTAAGAGATCGTTACGTTGTACCGTAATATAGATCGAAATGTATGAATTATTCAAGTGCTTTCACGAATTTGTTATCATTCACAATTTGATGAAACATTTCAATGTATATTGAGGCAATAACTAATGCTTACTTGCATGAGGGCCTTTACACCGTTTTGATGCTAAACAAACATATGTAAGAACCTAATATTTTATTCAGTGAAACAAGAACAAAAATATAAATACGCTATCTCATTCTCTCACAACTTACATAAAAACCTTAAAAACAATGATTATATAAGTAGAAAGTATCTCAGTACATTATATATTAATGTAGTTTTACATTCACGTAACAATGGCTTAAAAAGCTCAGTAACTCCATTAAAGCCCGGTCGCTACAAAATACATGTAATTCGAAGTAATGTATCGGGCTCGATAAAGAGCTTCCTTCACAAGCTAATGTTAGAGATAGCGGGGACTGCGTCGGTATAAAACTCGATGTTCACGGTATCAACATTATGTACCTTGAATGTTCTACCTTACGACTTTATATTTTAAAATACTTCAAAGACTTTTCCAAGACCTAGCTAAAAGCCTTTCGTTAAAGCCTAAGCTAGAAAACATATTTTATCGTTAAATTCAGAGTTATAATTTAAGGGACATAAAGTAATTGGCATTTGAAGCTGGTCATGGATAGATGAAGGAATCACACAATCATATGCATACGCATTAATTATTTTATTACAGAATTATAAATTTTTATGATCTTCCAGAATTAAAAAAAAAGTTTTTGCGATCGGCCCTGGTAATTGCAAAATTACTAATAAACCAAATAAATCAATTAATTAATTTACAATAATCAATTAAAAGCAATACTCAATTCTACGCTGGCAGCATATTTTTCGTATTTTTTTCGCTGTATTGCGATGCTTAGATCCTAAGCAAGGAAATCACCTCTTGAGTCTCTGGTACAGCGCCTGTTCACTTGTACACCGCGGCCAAAGAGTCTCGCCGCCGCAAGGAAAAAAATCAAAGTTGGAGGAAAGACTCTTGTATCACGTATAATTGGCGGCTATAACATATAATATGGTATGGTTTTTTAAATAATGCAATATTTCTTAATCATTGTACAAAACAACGACAAATTGAAGCACTGCTATAATTTGACTCATTCAGGCACACATTTTGTAAAGTGACCAATTTCAGCGCTCGGTTCGAAGCACTCAAATTATAATAGCCACTCGGTAATTATAAAATAAGGACACTTATGTTCAAAATCTAATTATATAAGTACGCCTGAATATTATGTTACAAGCTGTGCTTAGGATTTTGTCTACACGTGCTTCAAATTTGGGTCATATTTTATTTATTATGTTGTAGATTTATTTATTCAGGCGAAGTAAAAATTCTAAAGACATATACAGTTTCGCATAACTATATTTTAGTTGTATGTATATCTGAATTTTATGATTTATGGTCTCTGCGTTATTCTTACAATTCATCTAGTTATAAGGCTAGAAGAAGATATGGTGTAAAAATTATCATATGAAATTGAGAACGCAAATATATTTTATTATTGACATATTACGTTTTTTTATCACAAGCTTTTCTATAATAGCTTATAAATAGCATAGTAATGACTGATAACTAGTATACATATTATGCGACTTAATAAAGACAATAAAGTCAATTCTACACTGCCTCCATACCTTAATCAATGTATAC